AGGTAGTTCCATTGACTATAAAGGACAAGATTTTGGGCTTATACCATTTGGCTCTGGTCGGAGAATTTGCCCTGGAATGAATATGGGAGCTACCATGGTGGAGTTTGTGCTTGCTAATCTCCTTTACAAATTTGATTGGGAAATACCTTTTGGGATGAAGAAGGAAGATTTAGATTTCGACACAGCTCCTGGGATTGCGATGCACAAAAGAAATGCTCTTTACCTTATGGCTAAGGAATGCAAATATTGAAGTAAAGGCATTTAGCAATAGAAAGAAAATTAAAAGAAATGTTCTTTGCTTATTGGTATAATCATTTTGAATAATCCGTAGTTGATACTTGGTAGAAAAAATCTAATGGTTAATAATCTTTGAAATTTTTTTTTTTATATTGGTTGGACAATGGGAGCCAACCATCTCCCTTACCTTATCCTATTTTACCATGCGAACTCAAACTTAAGATCTCTTATTTTCAGCAAAAGAAAATAATTATTGAGTTACTTAAATTGTTGATAATAATATTTAAATTTTAAATAATAACAATATAAAACTATAAGATTTTGTTTGTTTTATTAGTTGAAATTCAAAATGGTATCTTGAAAGCATTACATTTTAATTAATACTTTTTTTGCAATTTTAACTAATATTTTAAAAAATAAAGTTTTCTAAAAAAATAGATGCTTTGCACTCATAACCCTAGTTACATTAGATAGAATGCATATTTATCAAAATTAAAACTTTGATTCTAGTTTTTGGAAGATCAATTTCTCTTCTTCAAATTCTTCCATCTAAAAAAAAAAAAAGAGAGAGAAGGAAGAAATGGATGCTTTTTTGTCAACAACTTATTAACGATCAACTTGATGCAGAGAGAGAAAAAGCCGAACAACAAAATAACATAGATGTTCTCCTTAAGATTATGAAATATCCTGAGTCTACTTTTGATTTTTCTTTTTTTTTGATACAAAAAATGATTAACTATTAGTATTAGTATTTGTTTTGATGTATGTTAGACGAGTCGAACAAGTGATCTCCATTTTGCTCTTCAAAAAATGAGCGCGACCCAACTAATGTGTCACGTAGTAGAGTTCATTTTTGATTTTTCTTTTTGTAACATCAAAGTCATTTTCGAGCTAATTTATTAATTAATTGTTTTTTTTTTGAACATTTATTAATTAGTTGATTTATTCTTACAATGAATTAAGAATACTTAATCAGTACTATTGTTTGAACATTTTTCTTCCTACTTTTAAGATATATTTATTGTTAAAAGGACACAATCTGTTATGTTAATTTTTAGATTGACTTAATACTTTTAATTAATTTATTAACTATATAAAAATTATTAAATACATATTAATAAATAAAAAAATTTATTAAGAAATTATAATTATTAAGTTAATTTAAAAATCAATATTTATAATATATACAAATAAAATTTTTAATTTAATAATTAATTTTTAAAAATAATAATTAAAGGTAAAATTTTAGATTGATTCTCTAGACAAATTTGAGAGGATAGTGTATTACGTTCGCATCGAGAGGATGGCACGCTTGCCAATTATGATGAATTTGGACTAAAATGTTAGTTGGATTAAAATTTAAAGACTTTCGGGAACATTTTCCCTTGTTTTTTACTAATATATATTAATGCTAATAAACAAATTGGCTTTTCGACAATTTTTTCCTTATTTTTAGGCCTTGTTTTGGTATAGCGGTTTTGGGGTAACGGTTAGCGGTTTTACCTAAACTGCTAAATATAGGTGTTTGGTAAATTTACATATTTTGAAACCGCTATAAATAAAATGTTTGGTAAAATTTTTATCTAACGGTTTGAGACTAGCGGATAGCGGTTAGAGTCCAAACCTCTAACGGATTGAAAAAGTTAGTTTATAGTAACTTTTTGTTCCAAACCGCTAACGGATTAAAATTTTTTAATTTTATTTACAAATTTATCCATTTTATTTACAAATTTATTCATTTTAATTTTTTAATTTGTAGTCACATTTTTAATTAACAATTATCTAATAAATTTCAATTTTATTTTTTTACTTTTAATAACATTAAGTTA